CTACATCGGAGACGAGGGCTGGAAGGACAGGGAGTGGCACGGGGTCTTCGCCTTTTGCCCTGTCCATTTTCCTGCGAGGCGTTAGCAGACGTGTTGAGGGTCAATCGTACTATCACGAGCATCTTCGTCGGCCGGAGTGTTGTCGGAGATGAGAGCTGCAAGGCCCGGCAATGCCCACAAAGTCTTCGCAGCTTGCAAGTCCGTTTCCTTTTGCCTGCAGGAATTAGCAGAGGCTTTGAAGACAAACACTGCCATCACCTTCATCGGACTCGGGCACACGCACATCGGACCCCAGGGCGGTAAGGCCCTGCCCTGCCTGCCGAGGTCTTCGCAGTTTGAGATTGAGTTCGGTCCCGCTTTTGCCTGCAAGGCCCTCGCAGATGCATTGATGGTNNTCTCCCTGTACTCGAACAACATCGGAGCCGAGGGCTGCAAGGCCATGCGTTTCCCAACAACACTTTCCCGGTTCCTTCCATGCGACCTTTCCCTTGCGAGGCCCTGGCAGACGCTCTGAGGACCAATCACACCGTCAAAAGCATCGACGTCGCCTTGAATGGCTTGTCTGCGCTCGAGCTCGTCTCGTTTCGCTTTTTGGTTTCCCTACTCCGTCAGAAGGAGGCTTAAGGGGCTCGCTCCTGGGCCTTGGCTTGAATCCGATCTCTCCGCACACTACCTCAGCTACCTCCAGCCGAGCCTGGGGCTCCTGCATACCGCAGCACTCATCTGTCTGCTTGCAGCAGCCAGCACACTTTGGCAGCAACGAAACTGACGGCGCATTTCATATATGAATGGCTGCGCTTTCTGCGCACCGAGTGCAGAAGTCACGTCGCGGCACAACCGGTCCAGACTTCGGCATGTGGCCGGCTCGTCGGTTGCAGCAGCACCCAAGGTCCGAGCTGGCACTCATCATGTCGACGCAGTCGTTCCAACTGCATACAGTCCGGCCCATGCAAACGTGAAATTGGCATCATGCGTAGGTTTCCTGTTCGGGATTAGGTTTCCTGGTCGGGGTGCACATGCCCCCTCGCAGCTGAGCATCTGATAGTGCCGAAGAGGAAGGAACAAAAAATATATATATCGAAATAGTATTTTTCAGCTTATATGAATCTTGATTAAAAAATATATATAATTAGACGTTCTATGGTCCCCCACTTTCTTCTTCATAATGATCCATAATTCTTCTCTCCTTTTATGGGGAGATTTGCAATCTCTCTTCTCTTTGATATAAGATTATAAGGATTATATATAGCTGGTAATATATCTTTTTTGATTATTATTATTCTATCTTGAATTATAATGAACTCAGAATTAATTTGAAATCATTCATAATATCATTATTATAATATATATAAGAAGATTTTTATATTCTAGGGCATAAGGAATTAGAGATTCGATTAAATAAATTTATGAAATTCTTAGATATGAATATATATAGGAATTCTTCTTCGATATTATATGATCTCTCTGAAATTATACGATTTTTGTTAAATATTAAGGGCGCGGAATATATAATATCTTTCGTATTGATGGCGCTAACTCTTTCTCATCTTATTTGAAATGCGAGTTTATTACTCTTTATTATTATCGATATATGATATTATAATAAATATCGAGATTAATATTATGATGAATTATAAGAATCACAAATCGATTTCCGCCGTGCAAAATGAATAGATAATTATTATCAAAATATATAAATGAAATTGAAATTATATATTGAATTCAAATTCGGATCGCTCTTAAATATTGATATTAAATAGAATATTATAATTAATAAGATTTTCTTGAATAAATAAAATTAAATTATATTTTGATTTCAATCCCGACTCGCCTATAAATCCTAATGCCAGAAAGAATATTACAACTAATAAACTCTATTCCTGGAGATTAGCCAAAGCAAAGTGCGGAACCGATAAAAAGATTTCATTAATATTAGAAGATCAGGATACTAGCTAAAATAAGAATATATATATATAT